CAGGAAACTGCGAACCTCGCGCCTACAGCCTGGTGGCCCCACAAGGGGGCCGGCGGATCACGCTCAAGGGGCCGTGGACTTCTTGATTGCTGATGAAGTGTATTTTTGGTCGTGGTCTTGTGATTGCAGGCGGGTGGGCGTTGACCCGACGGGCAATTGCCCCAGTAACGCGAACAACGCATTTATTAGTTTGAGATGTTAGCCATTATGGTCTCCAGAACGGTGAATTGTTGGAACCTATGCTTTGCAATCTAGGGGGTGCAGCCAGTGTGGTGCAATCTATGCGGTGCAAAGCAATGTAGCACAATGCAGGTCAATGCGATATAGCGTTACGCAATGCAGCGAAATGCCAAGCAATGCAATGCGATGCCCAGCAAGGCACAGCAATGCAAAGCAACGCACCGCAATGCAACGTAATGCATGCAAAGCGGTGCAACGCAGTGCAAAGCAATGCAAGGCAATGCACCGCAATGTAAAGCAATGCGCAACAATGCAACGCAAAGCAGCGCAGTGCCAAGCAATGAAAACCAATGCAACACAATGCACATCAATGCAACGTATTGTAAAGTCATGCAGCGCAGTGCAAAGCAATGCAAAGCAGTGCAAAGCAATGCAAAGCAAGGCAATGCGCAGCAATGTAAAGCGATGCAACACAATGCATGCAACCCAATGCAACCCAATGCATCGCAATGAAATGCAATGCAAAGCACTGCAGAGCACTGCAGCGCAATGCAACGCAATGCAGCGCAGTGCCAAGCAGTGAAAACCAATGCAACGCAATGCAAAGCAATGCAACGCACAGTAATGTAACGCAGCGCAGTGCAACGCAATGAACACCACTGCAACACAATGCATGCAACGCAATGCATCGCAATGCAAAGCACGGCAATGCGCAGCAAAGCACTGCAGCGCAATGCAACGCAATGCAACGCAGTGCCAAGAAGTGAAAACCAATGCAACACAATGCAAAGCAATGCAACGCACTGTAACGTAACGCAGCGCAGTGCAACGCAATGAACACTGCAACGCAATGCAAACTAATGCAAAGCACTGCAGCGCAATGCAAAGCAATGCAACGCACCGTAAGGCAATGTAAAGCAATGCAACGCAAGGAAACGTGTGCAGCGCAATGAAATCCAATGCAACGCAGTGTAAAGCCATGCAAGGCAATGCAAGGCAATACAAAGCAATGCACAGCAATGTGCACCAATGGGAAGCAATGCAAGGCAATGCAGTGCAACGCAATGCGGTGCGAACAAGGAAAAGCAATGCAACGCAATGCAAAGCAATGCAGACCAACGGTATCGCAAGGCAACGCGGTGCAGTGCAGAGCAGTGCAGTGCAGCGCAGCGCAGTGCGATGGTAGCGTGCTGCGACTGCAGAGCGATGCCAGGCAGTGCAGTGCCGCGCGATCGAAGCGCAGCGCGATTGACGTGCAGGAGGAGCAGGAGGAGGAGGAGGAGGAGAAGGAGAAGGAGGAGGAGGAGGAGGAGGAGGAGGAGCAGGAGCAGGAGGAGGAGGAGGAGGGGGAGGAGGACGAGCAGGAGGAGCCCCCCCTCTCCGTGGACCCCCTCTCCCACTGCAGTGCAGTGCAGGCACTGCAGCGCGATGGAGACTCCACGGGGGAGGGAATGCCACGGGACGGCGGCGACGGACGGGGCCGGGGCCGCCAGGCCCGCAGGCAGTTTTTTGTTTTTTCTTATCCGCGCGGGAGGTGCGGCGAGGCACGGCAGCGGGGCCGCTGGGGCCGCGCACGGGCCCAGATCTGCAGGAAAGAAGTACGCGTTGTTCACTTCCAGTTCTTCGAGAACTCCGCGCTTTTCTGGGGGCCAGGATCCTTTCAGTTCTAACTGTTCCATCCTGGGCCTCTTCCTGGCCACTAGGGGGCCAGGAACGATTAGAAACGAGTATACTTAGAAACGAGCACGATTGGAAATGAACGACGTGTAGTGAGGACCCCACGCCTCGTTTCGGAAATCGTGGCTTCTGGGAGCGCGGGCCTGTCATCCTGCGAGAGATCGTGGCTCTCGGAGAGCGCGCATAGGCCAGGTTTGCGAGGGGCCGTGGTATCCAGAGGACGAGTCCACTGTTCTCATCTCGGAGTGGAGTGGGGACTTGCACGAGATCGCTGCGCTGGAAGCCTGGGTGAACAATTGAAGCGTATCAATAATCAGCGGCGAGCGAGGGAGGGAAGTGAGAAGGAGAAGGCTTTCTCAGAAGACGGCGGGACTTCTCAGAAGCCCTCGCGCCTTCCGAGAAGTTTTTTCTGTGCTCGGGGAAGGCTTAGAAAACTTCTCAGAAGGCCGGGGGACTTCTGAACCTTCTGAGAAGGCCCGCCCCTTCTCACTTCCCCCCCTCGCTCGCCGCCTAAATAATATTCAGATCCTGGATGATGGGTGCGCGAGCGCGGAACCAACGCCGTTTACGAGGGATCGTGGTCTGTGGAGCGTGGGTCCATGAGTGTTTTGCGAGGAGGCGTGTCTTTGGGCACGCGGGCTGGCAGTTTTTTGTTGCGAGGTGTTGTGGTCTTGGCGATGCGGCGCATATTTTTGTTGAAACAGAGTGTTGTGATTCAGGGGGCGAACAAGCACAGTTGTTCACGCGAGGTCGGGGTTCGAGCGCGAGTGTTCATTGCTTTTGCGAGGGAGCCGGGCCTTACGAGCGCAGATCCGTCGTTTGGCAGAGTCACGTGACTTTCAAAGCGTAGATTCTTTTCAATCGGGCGCGATCTGCAGTTTTCTAGTCGGGATTGTGTTTTTGGAGGGCGCGGGCCCGTTGCGTTCACGAGAGATCGTGGCGTGTCGAGCGTCGGCAGTTTCTGTCAGAGAACCGCGTCCTTGTATCGCTGCACCATCGTTCTTTCAGGAGGGGTCATGGCCCTGGGAGCGTGGATCATTTTGTCCGCGGAAGGTGCTGCAGCTCGAGCAGATGTTCTGTTGCGTGCATCGTGGCCGCGGGAACGCGGCCGCGCTGCTCTCTGGAAAGGGTCTTGGCTGTGAGACCGCGGAGCAATCGTTCGTCATGAAGCGTCGTGGCCTCGGGCGGGCGGATCTCTGCTTGTTCGAGAGATCGCGGCCCTGACTCCGGGATTTCTGCATATCCACGCGTCTCAGGGCGCTCTGGATCTCGGACGATGCGGTCGGGCAGGTAGGAAAACGAACCGGCGCGCCCAGGGGGTGTAACGCGCGCCTCTCGGAGTGTGAGAACCTGCGAAGTGAAGGAAACAAGGAAGTCAGGTTCTCTTGGCGTGTGATTGGAGGACTCACCAGATGCAATCGTGCACGCATTCTCCCAATGGCCAAACCACTGAGGACAGCTGGTGGGCTCGCAGGGTGCAGCCGATGGGTCCCGCATGGGCTGCGAAAGCCGAGGAGGCCGATAAACATATTGGGTTACGTTATCATCTTGCTTTAGACGCGGGTGCCGCCTGAACGCGGGAAGCAGCGATGGAAGAGCTGAAGGGGGACTGATTCGGCCGCCCTCGTTCCCCATTCCGCCACCCGGACTTGACAGGCTGAACTACGGACTCGCTAATGTCGGGCTGAACGCGCCGTGCAGCCACTGTATGTGTTATTGATGTTTCAGCGCGTGCGTGATTACTTCTGTTGTCCTCTTTGAGAAGCGCGTGCGAGAAGAAGGGGGCAGCCTACTGGCAGCACGGGCGCGGGCTTTCCGCATGGCAATCTCCAAGTTGTCTCGCAATGGGTTGTGCTTGCCGACCGGCCATTCGTCCGCCTCTTTTTCGGACAGCCCCCTCGCCCTCCCCCTCCCGATCTCGCCCTCGCCCCCCCCTTCAACATGCCCTGCAAGACGGTCCACAAAGGGTTCCAAGATGTCCAAGAGGCCTCGACGATGATGACGGCCCCTCAGGCCCCACGGTGTGCCTCAGGATGACCCAGGATAGTTGACGCAACGCCTCCGAGAGGTGCAAGCTGTACCCGCAAATTCTCATGGCTCTCGACGTTACTCCCCTCCCCCCCACGTGGAGCTGCGAACGCATGCTGCGGGGTCGTGTCACGTTTTGGATGATGATCCGCTGGTGCCTCCGCTTTCCGCGGTGGACGGGGAGTCGTTTGGCTGGCTCTGGTTTTCAGGCGCCTGCACCTCCGAAGATTCCCTTTCCAGCTCAATCTGCCCCCAGATGGAGACAGTCTTCTAAATCCCCTGGCGATAACGGGCTTGACCAGGGGGGGGGGGTAGGAGGGAGGGGGCTGGTTCCTGGTCGCGTCACGGTTTGCGCCGGCGCCGTCTGTGGATCTTTCGGAATGGCCAGTTTCCACACGGCGCCGCCGGCGCGAATCGTGACGGCACCATGGGGGGTGGGGAGGCTGGGGGTCCGGGGCTGGTCATGGGCGCCACCGCGAAGAAAGACAGAAATTAGTGCTCATGGGCTAAGATGGTGATCGTTTTCTGATTCCTTGTTTTGCCGATCGGCGCGGGCCCTCGCACCCCCCTATCCCCCCACCCCCTATGGAGTAGATCTTGGCTGTTTCTGGCGCCTGTTTCGAGCAGGTGGAGCCTCCCCCATAGGACGCACTGCTGCAAACAGTCGCACTGAGCAGAGGTCCAGAGCCAGACCCACCCCCTCCCCCCCCGCCTCCCGCCCAATGTCGAAGCGCCGAATCAGAAAGCTTTTTTTTTTTTTTTTGTTCTCCCCTTTTTTTTTTTGTTTTTTTTTTTTTTTTTTTTTTTTTTTTTTTTTTTTTTTTTTTTTTTTTTTTTTTTTTTTTTTTTTTTTTTTTTTTTATTAAAAATGTGTGTGTGTCTATATATATATATATATTTCGCCCAAAATCCGCCTGCAGGGGAACATGCCCGACCTAACCCCAGCCCACTCCACCCCAATGTCGAAACGCCGAGTAAGAACGCGTTGACATGGCCCCCCAGCCCGCCCCACCCCACGAAGGCCCAAGACCACCGCGCGTTTGGCTCGAGGCGCCCCTTGGGCGGGCACGGCTGAAGCCCCCTCCGCTCCCTCTGGACAGGCCGGGGGCGCGCACATGGCCGCGGGGCTGGCCGCCGTGGCACCGGCGGGGCGCCTCCTGGACTTCCGCGACAGGAGGCTCTGGGGCGGGAACTTGTGCAGACCATTGCCTGGAGGATCAATTTCCGGGGACCTCGGCAGGCGGTGGACATGGGCATATTTGGGCTCCTGGGGGCCAATCTCTATATATGTATATCTGTATATATGTGTATGTCTTATGTATCGATATATGTGTATATATATACATATGCATATATGTAAATATGTATATGTGTATATATATATATATGTTTACATTCACATATATACATATACCCACATCCACCGCCCGCTGGGCCACCAGAGCGTCGGTTCCCAGGCGCTGGTGGACATGTCTAAGTCCCCGCCTCGCAGAGGCTGACGCGCGAGGTCGTGGGCCTGGGCGTGGCCCTCGCGAGCCCCGGCGCGGCTGGCACGCCGAAGGCACTCGCGCTCGCCTCCGGCGGTGCCTCCCCGGCGGCGGCCTCGGCCGGCGCCGCGGCTGGCGCCGCGGGCCTCGCGGCGTCCATCGAGGCTGAAGTCGGGCACGCCCCTCTACAGGAGGAAGAGTCAACAGTAGCTAAAGTACATCGGTATCGTTTGAACGATCTCCATCCACATCCCCATCCCCTTCGAGGCCCCTGCCAAATTGCCACCCAGTTGGGGATACACCCCTCGAAGCCCGAAGGGGACGGCCTACATCCCCATTTAGGGGGGTAAATCGACCAGTGGGGCCCAGGCCACGCCGCTGGGGATGGGGATCGGTTAAACGATACTCAAAATAGCAGGGGAACGACTTTTTGATCATTGCTTTGACTATTCTCTGGCATTTTTTTGACAATCTTTTCATCTTCGCCCCTCAAAGTCCGCCTGTATCTACGCCTCCTAGATGGGGTCAGAGTAGATGGGGTCGGAGTATCGCGCCGCATCGCCGATGCATCGGTGATGCGGCTCGATGTGGGGCCCGACTTGCCTCATGTCGACGTCGCCGACGCATCGCCGACGTCGACGATGCGTCGCGATCCTCCGACCCCATCTGCTCCGACCCCCTCTAGGAGGCCTCTACTGTGGGAGGACATGCCCGACCCACATCGAGGCCCGGGGCCGGGCGCTCCAGGCGCACGAGCTGCAGCGGGCCTCCCGCGCCCCCGCCGGCGCCCCTGCCGCGGCTGCCGCGCCGACGCCGGAGCCTGCCCGAGAGGCGGGCTCCGAGGGTTTCTCCGAAGGGCTTAGGCGACCCGTCCTCCTCCTCCTCCTCCTTCTCCTACTCCTTCTCCTCCTTCTCCTCCTCCTCCTACTCTCCTCCTCCTCCTCCTCCTCCTCCATCTCCTCCTCCTCCTCCTCCTCCTCCTCCTCCTCCTCCTCCTCCTCCTCCTCCTCCTCCTCCTCCTCCTCCTCCCCCTCCTCGGGTCGCCTACGGCCCTGGGGAAACAGTGTAGCTCCGAGGAGGGGGGCGGCGATGTCCCGGAGCTCCACGAGGCCCCGAGGCCGCCGGAGGGCAGCGGGTATGCGTACCCGACGTACGTCGGCCCGCTGCTGCCGACGCTGTCGGAGCGACTTGGGCACGCGCCTGTCGGAGGCCGGCCAGAGGCAGCCGCGCCCGCGAGCGCGCGCAGGCAGCGCATCGAGGCGCTGGAGCGCGGGATGAGGGCGTACGAGGATGGGCGGCGAGCGAGAGGGGAAGCGAGAAGGAGAAGGCCTTCTCAGAAGGATTGGAAGTCCCCCGGGGCCTCCCGAGAAGTGTTCTGAGCCTGCCCCAGAGGCAGAGAACCTCTCGGAAGGCCAGGGGCCTTCTGAGAAGGCCCGCGGCCTTCAGTCGGGCGGGTGGTTCTGGGGGGTGACCCACTTCGGGGGATGAAGAGAAGGGCCCTAAGGAGGCACTTTAGGGCCCCTGTTGGAGCCAGCAGGGGCCCCGAAGGGGCCCGAAAGTGCCCCTTTGGGGCCCTTTTTTCTTCGCCCCCCAAGTGGGTCACCCCCCATCACCACTCGCCCGGCCTTCTGAGAAGGCCTTCTCCTTCTCACTTCCCCCCTTCGGTCGCCCCCGAGAGGAGGAGCGGCTGCTGCGGCTCGCCAGCGGCACCGCGCCGCTGCTGGGCCCGGGAGGCCAGCCGCTGCTGCCCGTCCCGCCGCCCGAGGCTCACGGGCCTCGGCTGGGCCTGCAGACGCGCTTGCACCTCCTGTCCACCGCGCGCTCACAGATCGGGGGTTGCTAGAGGTACCCCTGGCCCACGGTGCCCCCAGCCTTGCGCTCCATGTTGGAGCCCCTGGGGCCCTCTGGGCCTCGTAAGGGGTGCTCTGGAGGCCGTGGGGGCCTCCTTGGAAATCCTGGGGGCACCTTGGGCCAGGGGCACTTCTAGCAACACTCGAACAGAAGCAGCACCTGAGGGACATGCTCGTCTCGACCCAGATCCTGGGCAGCGAGGCGGATCGGCTGTGTGTAAGAGTGATCTTTCGCCAGAATGACCTCTGGTGCGGGCACACTGGGATCCCCACCCCAGATGACTGGACGAGATGCGATAGCAGCGGCTTGCGCGCTCCGGTTCGGCCTCCCCGCGGCCTTCGAAAGTTGCGCACCAAAGGTCACTCTTGCCTAGGGCCACTCTTACGTGTAGCCGAGGCTGCGCAGCGGCCCACGAGCCCCAGCACCATGGCCAGGGCCGCAGGCCCAGACTACCGCGGAGCCGTGCAGGATGCCTGGGACGGCGCTGGCCCGACACAGGGTGCTGCCAGCCATCCGAGCAGTCCGCGCCGCGCCGCTGGGCACCGCGGCGACATGCGGGCGCTGGCGCTGCGGGACACGGCGGGCATCTTGCGGGAGGCCGAGGAGCTCGTGAGCCAGAAGGCGCCCGAGGACAAGTGCGCCCGTGTCGCCGCCCAGCTGTGCGCCAGGGCGTACGATGTGGAGCCCCCCACAGTCCTCCGCATGTGCCGCGCGCTGGGCACCGCGGCGCGCGGCGAGGGCGTGCGGACGGCCAGCGTGCGCCAGGAGCTGCTGCGAGCCGCCGACACGCTCCTGCAGTCCCTGACGATGCGGTTGCGGGAGGTGCAGGGCGTCGCCCTGCTGGCGGAGGTTGTTGAGACCATGGCGGAGGTCGAGGTGGGCACGCAGGTGTTCTTTGACATGGTGATGGCGCTGGTACTCGCGAAGCACCACTGCGATTGCCAGGCGCTCTCTCTGCCCGTGGTCCTAAGGCTCGCCTCCGCCGTGGGGCGCGCGGCGGCATCGCGGCTGAGGTTGAGGCCACGTGGCAACGGGGGCCCGGGTACCTCGACCAACATGCGGGTCATGGAGATCATCCAGCAGCGCATTGCCAGCAAGATCGACGAGTGCGGAGCGGAGGACATCGCCCGGCTCGATGACCACTTCCTCGCGCGCCTCTGCGGCGAGGCTGAACGACGCGCCATTCTCGTCAGGGCGGCCGACCTGAATGCTGGCTTCTGCGGGGACTCGAAGCGGTACCTCCCCGACCTCGTCCGCCTGCAGCAGTCCGTCCGCAGGGAGTGCCCAGAGGGCTTCTTGTGGTCGCTCCCGCGCCACGTGCGCGACTACCTGGAGCAGCTGCGGCTGCTCGGCCTCCAGGAGACCGCCCCTTGGGCGGCTGGTCTGGCCTGCTCACCGCGCTGGCAGGCCTGAAGATCCCAGAGTCTGCCCCAGAGCCCTGTTTCTTGCCCCCTCCCAAACACGCACAACCTTTTCTCAGATCGGAGTGACTGAAGGACGGACGCATCATACCTCGAGCGCGGCCGAGCAAATGGTTCGAGGCTCGCGAAAGGCTGAACAAAAAAAGACGATGTGCCGAGGACGTCTCTAGACGGCCCCCAGGCTCTCCGAACAGGCCCCAACAGGCCCGAAGAGGCTCCAAGATGGCCCCAAGAGTTCCCAAGAGAGTTTCAGGCGGTCCCGCCAAAGTCCCATCTTGGCCCCAAGAGACTCCTCCTCCTCCTCCTCCTCCTCCTCTTCCCATTCCTCTTCGCATTCGTACTCGAACGGTAGGTCTGTCCCCTTTCCTGCTGCCTTGCCTTTTTCTCACCCAGCCAGTCCGCTGCCTTTATTGGCCCTGGGGTGCGTACGGGAGCCTGCAGTGCTCCCTTGCCCGTCTTATTCGCGCTTTCAGTACTGTACTGAACATTCTGCCCTCAGGAAAAGCATTTGGATTTCCACACCATTTCCTACATCTTCTCTTTCAGTTGGTAGCGGAGCGGGTCACTCCTCCTCCCACCACGGCCGCCATGCCATGTCTCGCCTCGCGTCGACCGCAATGGCTTCCACCGTCCGCCGCTTTCGACTTCGATCAATCGCCTTCAACATGTACCCCTTCGTACACTTCCCCCACTTCGCTCTGGCAAGAGACGTTACTTTAGGGTCCGTCGGGGCTGTACCAGCCCATCCGCCAGGACCCGCGACCGTGAGCGTGCACATCGCCTTCAACACCTCCGCCTTCGTGCACCTTTTCCCTCTCACTCTGGCAGGGGACGTTGCTCGAGGGTTTGTGGGGGCACCCGCTCATCCGCCAGGGACAGTGATTGCGACCGTGCGCAATCAGTACGTCATCAAGGACGATATCATCATGACCTACAAGGGGCGTTCTCTGACCCATCCGGGGCATGCTCGGACTGTGTCCAGGCAACTCGCAGACCCCAAATTGTCAGTGTCCACGCCAGTGGGGGTAGCTTCAGATGGCAGACAGTTGCTCGACACAACGTTCACATTTGCGGTGTCGGAACCAGGTCCCGAGCTTCTTGGGACTGTGTCTTGAGAGCCCTGGGAGAAGCAAGCAGTGAAAGGCATCCAGCGACTGTGTCGCCGGTGCCGGCGGGGATGCAGTGGGGAGTTTTTGTGGAAATTGTGTTCTCTAAATTCCCGAGGTAGTGCAGTGGAGGCATGGCGATTGGGACGCCATCGCTCCGAGGCACCACAACTCGGGACCCCGCCCGTCGCCTTGCCTACTCAGACCCGCCAGCCTGGCAGGGCGGGATCCCGATGCGCACTCCTCCAGGCGATCGTAAAATTGGCGGTGCTCAGTACAGTGACCGCGCGACGTACAAAGAGCATTCCCGTGAGTGTGCCGCGGGATGTTCTGCGCCGTGAGCGCTGCAGTGACGCGACAGAAGCAGACGTCCAATACGCTGACGAGGAGGAACCCATCCAGGGCACGTGTTCTCGGCGACTCATGCAACGCCGCTTGAGGATCCCAGGCCTCCAGCACCTCTACGACAGGTGGAGGGAGCTACACTCCGGATGGAAGTCCATCGGCGTCGGCATGTTCGCCATCGCAAGCTGCATCGCCTGCATGGACGCAGGTGGTGGCAGGCAGCGGCAACGTGCGCCACCTCCGCACCTGGGGGCCCGAGCGCCAGGCTCGCGTGTTTTGCCAGAAATGGGTGCGCGAGGTGATGCTCTGGCCAGTGGCGAATTCAGGCCTCGACGCGTTTCGCCAGGCGGCCTACGTCTCGTCGCGTCTTACTGGCATGGCGCGCAAGTGCGTGGACGAATGGCCGCCAGCTGTCCTAATCCAGGGAAGTCTTCTCAACGGCAACCCAGTGCCACCGTTGATCTTGATTATGCACCGCTTGCCCGATCAATGGGGCCAGCTGGGCGAGGAGGAGCGCACCTCGGCAGTATCGGCCCTGATGAACTTCAACCGACTGCCGCGGGGGCGCATTGGCAACCTCCTGACGAGGTTGGACATCATGCGTAACTGGGCGCGGCAAGTTTGTCAACTCATGAACGGCTACGAGGGGCTCAGATTCCTTCTGCTGCGCGCCGTTGGCGCGTCGAACACTCAAGTCATCATGCTCCTACAGCGTTGTAACGTGGCCTGCCCCGCGAACGCTCGGCAGCTCGCCCGCGCGACGGGCCAGTTGAGACGCTTTGGGCATATGATACAGGGATCGCCAGGCAGCCTCGCCTCGGTGGTCCGCTTTGCCCAATGGTGCGCGTTCTTCGCGGGTGCGCCCGCGCAGGAGCAGAGCTGGTGCGGCGTGGGTCCTGCTGCAGTTGCATCGGCGCCGAGTCCCCCTGCACCAGCCAGGGCCGCGTCTAGAGGCTGTGCCTCTTGCGCGGCCCCGCCGGCGCAGGAGGCATGCCCAGCGGCAGAGATCGACTCAGGCACCGACGCCGACGTCGCCAGCCCTTTCGGCGATGAGATAGCCGCTGACGATCCCGAGTTACGCGGCATCCCCGTGGAACGACGTGGTGCGCACCTCTTCTGGGCTTACGAGCGCACCAAAGCACGCTGGCGCAACTTCGACAGCCGCATGCCCGCGCGCCATGTCCGAGGGTTCATCGATCGGAAGGGCAAGGGCAAAAGTGTCACCTACCGCGCTGTCTTACTCTCGGCGCTGTTCGGACGAGGGCCAGCTGGAACCAAGGCGCCTGTGCGGCAAGCAAGAAGAGCGGACTCAGGCGACAGGGCGTCAGAGCCACGATGCACCCGCACGCTCTGCGCATGGTATAACTTGTGAGGCACGAAGCACGGACAAAACGAGGCAGGCCGCAAGACCACTCCACTCCTCCTGCCCTTGCCGCCTCGCCATGCCGTACCCAGCCTTTCGTGGCTGGCCCCCCCCTCCATCCTAGGGCGACGAGATCTATACATTCGTATCCACTGCCACTGGCGAGGGCAATCCTAGTCCAGGAGCGGTGTAAATGCCTCGCTAGCCAGGCCAGGAAGGTCCATACACCGCTCCTGGTCCCAGGATGGGCCTGGTCAAGAGCAGTCGCGATATGTTCCAGGCCTCCCAGATGGGGTCCGAGTAGCTGGGGTCGGAGGATCGCTCCGCTTCGCCGATGTATCGGCGAAGCGGCTCGGTGTGGAGCCCCGTTTTCTCCACGCCGGCGTCGCCGATGCATCGCCGACGTCACCACTGCATCGCCGATGCATCGGCGATGGATCGGCGATGCGGCACGATCCTCCGACCCCATCTATTCCGACCGCATCTGGGAGGCCTCTATTTGTATAGATCTCGTCGCCCTGCCTGCCGTGCCCCCGTGCCCCCGTGCCCAGGGGCAACGATATGGGGGGAATATGCGTGGGAGGGGGGCTGCGTCGACCCCAAATCGCCGATGGATCGCTGATAGGGGCCATATTGGCGATGTATCGCTGATTCCAGGTCGTTCCCCCGCCCTATGTCAGACTCCCCCTTTCGTTGCCCCTCATGGAGGAGGAGGAGGAGGATGGTTGGTTGGGCACTCGGCGGAGACCTGGTCAAGCCAGGGCGCTTCCAACACCACACAAACATTCACTTCAGTCACCGATCAGGAAAGGACAGCCCACTCTTAGGCGGTAGGCCGCGTCGGAGGCGCGACAACACCTCGGCGCCTGCTTTTGTGGGTTTGCCACTTGGTGGACAGCCCTCGGCGAGGAGCTGGGAGTTCTGAGTCATAAATCTCCCGCAAACTCGACAGTACAGGACACCACGATACACAGCAAGGTCGTGAGACGAATGGGCCCGAGGGAAACCAGGGTGCGCGATTACAGCTTCACGCCCTTCCAAGGGTCTTATCTGTCGCGCCCCCAAGCACCGCCCAGGGAAGAATTCGGAGACCTTGCCTCGAGTCGCCTCGAAATTGCGACGACACAGACAGCACTTAAATCTGGTGCCAACCATCTTGACAGAATGCCCGGCCGCCTCGAGACGTTGCTTACGAGTGGCGTAGGAGGGCAACGCCTTGGGGCGAGGAGGGGGACGCCCGACCCTGTCAGCCACGAGGCGTTTGCAGGTCAAGGCGACCTCACGATTGACATCAAGAAGGTGCCGCAAGACCTTACCAGTCATAGCGTCGACCTCCTGAAGCACATCCACATGCTCCTGGGGAATTTCTCCTAAGGCGGCGGCCTTCCCAGCGAAAAAGTCAGCACAATAGTTGAGAAAAAATTCGGCGCTCGAAATGCCCCAAGCCTCACGAGCAGCCTCCGTAGAATGAGCCTTGGTCCACAAGAGCTCCAAGCGACCTTCACGAGCGTCCAAGAGGTCCCAGATCTGGATCCACAAGTCCAACATGGGCGAGTTCTGGGCAACGTAGGACCTATCCCTCCTGAGGCTCCTAACCAGGGGCAAGTAATCTGAGTAAGCCACTACATCACCATCAGTGTGGGTAAGGAGCATGATCAGGGCATAGAGTTCCGATCGTGGGCTAGACTGGGACTCAGTAGGAAGGGTACCCAAGAGAATGGCGTCTCACCGAAACTCAGGCGCATGAACACTAGCCTCATCCAACCTAACCACCGCCCAGCCACACCGTCGAAGCCTCCAATCCAGAGCCCACTTACCCCCAGAGCCGTCCAGTCCGAATCTGCCTCCACGGACCCTCCGGCCACCATCGAAGAGGCCCCAGGACTGACGAACATCGCGGGGTGGCGGCAGAGGTGCGACAGCTGCAGCAAGAGGAGGAAGCCCACGGTTCCAGAAAGCACTGCGAACGTGCTCAGGACGATCCGCCATCGCAGCAAGATCCTGGGATCGAGGAGGAGGAGGAGGAGGAGGAGGAGGAGGAGGAGAAGGAGGAGGTGGAGGAGGAGGAGGAGGAGGAGGAGGAGGAGGAGGAGGAGGAGCGTGCCCCCTGCTCCGCTCCGCCCCTTTGCCCCGGGGCCGAGCGCCGCGAGCATCCGAGAGGGGGGTGCCCGGAGGGCT